AAAGTAAATTCAAATAAAGAAAAATTTATTGAAAATGCACTGACACAATTTGGTAGAGAATGTCCACGGAGATTGAAATTTATATTTAATGAAAAAGAATGATGTATAATAATATTTTTTAATGTTTTAATTGTAATAATAAAACTTACCTAATTGTAATGTTTTAATTCATAATTTTAATAATGACGAAATATAATAATTTAGTGGCATTTACTATAAATAAAATGTATAGAAAAATTTTCATTTATTTTTTAAATTAATTTTTCCCCCCCCCTAGAAAAATGTCTGGGGACGCCTATGATCCCTCGACTTGTTATATAAAACCACTATGGGTGTGTCAAAATTATTTTTGCCAAAAAAATTTTTAAAACCATTATTTAGCTAGGTTTCAAAAAAAAAAAAAATTAAATTTCGTTATATCTAAGCGTTGTAGGTACGTATGTGCCCAAAACACCGATAATCGTGAACTTCGTTTACGGAGGCTACACCATAAGACTACACCATAAAAACTAATTATTTCTGGCAATTAATGTAAGCACCGTCGTTCTTAACTGGTTTAATGCATAGATGTCGGACAAACAAATTTAAAAATTGTGGGTGCTATACTAGATTTAGAACACTAAATTGAAGTACCCCCCCCCCCCCCCCCCATCCAAAATTCCTAAGCACGCCACTGATGTATCATACTATATTACTATCATCTATCTGTAATCTGTATCAGATTATTATTAACCATAGTATCTATATCCGTGTTTCGCGAAGTAATTCATATCTATTTTTAAAGTATGATTTCCAATATTTTGTTTATTTTTGTTATTATGATGAACATGAATAGACATGCATGAACAATATATTATAATAATAGTACAAGGGGGGTATTAAACTAATAAACTAATAAATAATAATAGTATGACACACAAATTCACGATTATCATAAACGTCAAGAGTGCAAGACAGAAGACACGTCGTGTAGTATTTTCAATTTTGTACTTGACTCGTTTATAACTTGTTCTTAACTTTTTTATAACTTAGTAAGACTCATAAGTTGTATACCTATTTGTATTTACTTGTAAGTTATTGAAGTGGCATTTAAAATAACATTCATCAATCAATTAAAGTCTTAATACTCATTTTCACAATGAATCCAATAGAGCATGATGATTTTCGTTATAAGTACAATGGCGGTGTTAAAAATGGTGTTCGGTAAGTTTATTTTACTAATATTACTACCTACTTACTAGATTACCTATTACTTATTACTTATTAGATATTATTTGAAATGTAATATAAAAACAATTTCAGTTTTGACTATTGAATTTTCTTAATAAAGAAATCAATACATGTATCTGGGTGCTTAAGAACTATTTTTTAAGTCACTTACGATACACTAATCTGTACAACATATTTACAATTTTTAAATCCACCAGTCAATAATTATATAATAAATAGATTATACTAGGTAGGTACAATAGGTACCATATTATGATTTTTTCAACATAGGTTTGCATGCATATTTTGATTTAAGAAACGCATATTTTGTTAATATAATTAAATTCAAATTTGAATATTTTGTGTTTTTATTATGCAAAAAACTGAACCTTAAAATACTCGTACTTTTTAGTAGGTGCATTTAAAATGATATAGGCGCCTGCTATTTAATAATGTATAATATATTACACAACATAGGGTGGAGTCGACCCCTTAAGAATTTTTTTTAATTTAATTTATTCTATCTACGGTCATTGAAAAATATTGAAAATTGAACCATAAATTCAGAAGTTCACTATAATAATTGGCTTAAATTTCAAAGTCTTAAGAACATTGTATGAGACATTTTTATTAATATTTTAAAATTGTATTTTTCCCTTATATGGCCACTGTAAAAATATTAATTGTTATTTTATTAAAAAATTAATTATTAATACATATATAACAGGAACTTTTATTTTCCAAAAACAAATTATGAAAATAAAAACAAACTAGTTATTTATGAGTATCTACCTATACTTAACATTTTGATAACTTATAAAAAAATTTTAATCCAATATTAAATATCTGAACAAATATATAAATAAAATGACCAATTTTTTAACAAAATTATTATGAAAACTAATACAAATTCAATATGATCTCCATCAGAATATTATGTACAGCATTTTTTTTTTACCTACAGGCTTACATTTTACTAGTACATAGTCACCAGATTTTAAGTCTTGCTGCAAATTAAAAACAACTAAATATGTGGATTACACTGAATTTAACTTACTTCAATGTACAGAAACAAACATAAATTTATAATTCCAACTAACCTTTTTTTATATTATGAATTTTAAAATGTAATTTGTTAATAATTGTTTATTATTTGTTTATATTGTTAGTTATTTGGTATGCAGTAATCAGTTTTGTAAAGGTACAGCAAAACGTTTATCTGATGGCACAATCAAAGCCCAAATAGGGCATTCACACGTGGCAAACATCTTTATTTGATCACTTGTCTAATGCATAATACTATTAGGTATAGCTTTATTGGTTTAGGAGGTTGATCCTCTAAACAATTGCTTGCCAATGTAAGATACAAATTACTTTAATGTTGTCATCAGGGGCGATTTTACAGGGGGGTGTGGGGGGATTTGACACCCCCCAAATGTCGGCAATTATAAACAGGGCTTCAAAACGTTTTCATAACGTTACGAGTATAACGTTAAACGATTCAAAAAACGATTGAAATCGATAACGGATAACATATCGGTAAACGATAAACGATTGAAATGGATAACGGATAACGGAACAGTAACGATAAACGATTGAAATGGATAACGGATAACGGAACAATAACGATAAACGATTAAAATTAATATCGAATAACGCAACAAAAAACGATTAACGATTAAAAGTTGAATCTTAACAAACATGTCAGACAACAAAGGAAATTACGAAAATATTAAAAACTATCTATAGAATATAATTAGAATTTAGTTAGTTTTGTAGAAGGGCAAATGTAAACTGGGCCCGGAGTTACCTTTTTTGTTGTAAGCTCGGCCCGACAATTTTAGGTAATAAATTAATATTAGAACTGATCGGTGTAAACTTTAGATATTAAGATATTATGAACTCATCACCTTTAACACAAGCAATTGCTTAAAGAAGGTGTCAAACAAATGTTCCTATCGCTTTATTGTACTTATTCACTTTTCGTTTGTAAATAAATAAATAAATAAATAATTCCACTCACCCCAATATATATTCCGTCATTTCAAAATTAAAAGAAGTACAAACAGAAACGTACATTAAAATCAACAGCCTAGATGGACCATTTAAATTCCAAAATATAAAAACTAAAAAAAAAAAAAGAACTCTTAGAAAGAACACTTACAAAATATAAAAATAAAGAAATATCAGTGAGTGAATATGTAAAATACATGGCTTTTTACTTAAAAAACTAGATTTATATATTATTATTATACTAACATTTTTCACTCATTATTTACACTACAATTTTACTTATATATTTTTTATTGTATTTATACACATTTTTACACTTATAAATTTATATAATTACATTTATTATTATTTTATTATCAATATTAAAACATTTTTCATTTAAATAACGAATTTCATACTATATGAATAATAATATGAAAATGAAAATAATTTTTGAAGGATAATGAGAACCGCCTCCTCGTGGTGTCCTCCGGGTAATGCTAAATGTTTCTCAAAAATATTATAAGAAAAATGATGGTTTTTACACCTAAATCATTTTTACCTGAAAAAAATCGGGGCCGAGTTTACATCTAAATAATTTTGACCTGAAAAAAACCCGGGCCGAGTTTCCCATCGACCTTTTGGAAATGTTTTTTCCTCGGGCCGAGTTTACAATCTCCCTTGTAGAACTGTTGCTTGATAGGACTATAATAATAAAGTGACTTTAATATTAGGTACTAATCAAAATTAATTAAATGTACAATATGGAACTATGAAAGTTTAAAATAGCCATAAATATTTCAAAGAAATAATACGCATTAGCAATATTATATTTAGGCTTTCTTACAAAAGTGGAAAATATTTATAAATAATGTCTGGGTAAATAGTATTAAACCCGTTCAACGGGTTCTACATTTCTTAGTAATGTATTTATAAATAATTAATATTTAAAACGTTTAAACGTTAAACGGAACATTTTATAAACGTTTAAATTCTTTATAACGTTAAACGATAAATCGATCATAACGTTTAATATCATATAACGTTAAACGCTAAATCGATCATAACGTTTAATATCATAAAACGTTAAACGCTAAATTGATCATAACGTTTAATATCATATAACGTTAAACAGTAATTTGGTCATAACGTTTGATATCCATATGATATCTAAAGGCTAAAGGTATCTGCTTATTGCATATTAGCTTCAAGCTTACCTATATAACGCCCCTATTATTTTATTAGGTACCTTTAAATAGGTGCCTGTGTCCCGTATTGGTATGCCTGTTCTTATAATTAGGGAGCGGATGTTTATGCATTTATCATATTTTTTTATAATATCTAAATCAATGCGAAGTAAGATATAAATTTGTTTCATCACCTAAAGAATTCAAATTTACCAATTTAATTTTGTATATTGGTCCGATTTTTACTATTGATTGATCATATTTTTATATTCATCACAGTGGCGTAAATACCGGGTGGGCAAACGCCACGGGCCTCGGTACCAAAGGGGGCCCCAGCCCAACATACAATACCTACACTATTGCCCATTGGTTATTTCTATATTCGTCATTCGATTCAAAATTTCACAAAAATATGTATATTATTTTGATACCTGAAAAAAATAGTAGGAAATACGGACCTTATATTGGTACTATATGTTGGTATATGGTTTATACTCTAATAAATAATAATATATTATTGGAGGCCCGATTTGGGAAAAAAATATTATCTACAACGTATCTCATATCTGGAACTAATGGCTTAATAACTCAATGGCTAAAATATAGTAGAAGATGCAAAAAATCTTTGTGTTTCATGGAAAATACCTTTCAACTTCAATCGTAAACGTGAAAGATTTGCTGTTAGGTATCACGAAGAAGTTGATTGTGACCACTGACCGAAGACTTTCTATAACTGAAGACAGTTTTAAAGTTAAAGTATTTTATCCCGCACTGGACACGGCATTGTTTGAGCTTAAAGAAAGGTTTAAAGGTCTTAAAACAATAAGTGATGAGTTTTCTTTTTTAAAACCAATAAATCTTACTACAATAGAGGAACAAATTATAATTAAAGCGTCCTACGATTTACACATAAAGTTGTTAGGGCCCATTTTAGTCTTTGCACACGGGCCTCCAATGGCCTATTTACGCCACTGAATTTCATCATGCTTTTAGTGCATATTTGAGGTTTTTCGTAATATACTAATATATTATGAGGGATGGGCCGATACCTCTTTTTACCGATATCCGATATATGCAACCGATAAAAAACCGATACCCGATATATTTGAAAACAAACATTTTCAGCATAAACAATGGACCGATATTAAAAGATCACCGATACTATTATCATTTTATATTTAACTATTACAATTTTTAATCAATATAGTATTATGCTGATAGATTTGGTTTTTTTTTTGGTATTGGTTCAAATATCGGTTTAAAAAAAAAAACCGATACCGATAAACCCGATACCACCAATATCGAGTATAGGTTTTAATATCGGCCCATCCCTAAATTTATTATTTATTATTAACGGACTCGACTGGCGTAATTAATAGTTCAAAATTTTCCGACGGGGCGGCGGCGGAAATAGCCGGTTTCCATCCGTGGTGGCGGGAAGTGTGGGGTTCTTCTAAAAATGTCTAGACAAGAAGAACTAACTACATCAGACCTACCATATTTCAAATATGCTCCTTTCTCATCTACTTAAGATTCAAAATGTTGCTATCGGATAACATAAGAATATTTACTTTTAATAATTTAATAAAAACGTTGATTATCCAGTGCAATGTCCAATTACTATTAGGTATGTTTTAATCAAAGTTTTAGGTTTATTTTTGAGTATGTATATTGTATACGGTATACGTAAATACGTTAGATTTTATTGTATACAATAAATATTATCAAAATGTTCAGTATATTCAAATTAAAAAAGGTGCTCTACTTTACAATAGGTTACAAGTGGGTCACTGTATAATGGATGGTATTAAATTTGAATTCAATGATATAATATCATTGTATAAGAAAAAAGATTCTGAGCTTAGACAGTATAAGAAGCATAAAAGACATATTATATACTTATAAATTCCAAATTAATCATATCACAATATCCATTAGGTACTTATAACGCGTAATACATCGACAAAAAACCCTGATACTATCATATATATATAATAGTGTACTTTAGAAGTTTCAAGTACCCACGAATAATTTATACAATCACAACAAAATAACTAAATAACTTATTCTAGGTTTTTTATTATGTAATTTCGTCCAAATTTGAACTTAAAATTACTATAAAAGTAAACTGTGCTTCTGTATTTTTTAGATTTTTTGGTAACAGAATTAACTACTTACGTAGAATTTTGTTTTAAATTTTCAATCCTTAGATATAAAATTTGAACATTTATAAATTTTTAACTACAAAATAATTATTCAATTTTAAATTTGATACATTTTGTCTTTAAATACTTATAAAAAAAAATTGTGCCTATGTATTTTAAATATTTTTCAACTGATATTGTAACAATATATCAGGAGCTTTGTATTAAATTTTTACAGTTTTTGGCCTAACAGATAAAACTTTATTGATATTTATAGAAAAAAAAACTAAAATAAAGCCGGCCAAGTGCGAGTCGGACTCGCGCACGAAGGGTTCCGTACCATTATCTAAAATTATGTCTGTTGTCGTTTGCGGGGTGGTACAATTCTGTATTGAAATTTATAAAACGAATCTTTGTATACGACGTCACTCATGCCAACCATTTATTAACAATACGACGTCACTCGTGGTAACTATTTATAAACAAAAATTTCCATCTGAAATCTCAAAATTCCCGTTTTAGCACCCCGAGGGGTTGCTCCTATCCCTTTTTTTTAGTATTTGTTGTTATAGCATTCACGGAAATACATAATATGTGAAAATTTCAACTTTCTAACTTTCATGGTTCATGAGATACAGCCTGGCGACAGACGGACGGACAGCCGAGCGAAAGTAATAGGCTTCCGTAGGGAAACGTACGGAACCCTAAAAATTGAAAACTGAAAATGTTCGTCAACAGCTCAAAAAGAGTCAAAATATTTTCAAAATTATATGGTGTATAGGAAATGCTAATATAAACATTCAGTGAAATTTTCATGTAGCTTATTCGTTTTTTAATTACAACAAAAGAAAGAAATCGCTACATGAGAAAACGAGTGAATATCCAATGTCGTAAAAATATGAAATTCAAACGCTCATAAAAATTAAATTTGACTTTCTTACTTTTTTTGATAATGGTAGATAATCTTAGAAGGAATATTGTATTACATTTTAAAATCTTAGATTTAAAAAGAAAATTTTTTATGAATTTCTAACTCAAAATAATTTTATAGGTTTATATATAGGTCTAGGTATCCTCAATTTATTCAGAATTTTCAAATAGGTATTTCAAAAATCACACTGATAAAGTGATAACATTCATAATTTGACTAAACCTCTTTTAACAAAAAAATATAGAGATTGCCTATATATTACTCCTAATATTTTAAATATTTTTAAATTAATATTATTCCTGAATATTATTTTCCCGTGTAAATATATTCCTAGTATTTAAATTCCCGTCGATTATTTTCTGGCTTAATATTTTCCTGATTTTTATTTTCCCCTGTAATATTTTCCTTTGTAGTAATTTCCTACTTAATTGGTTTCCTGATTTTTGAATTCTTGTATATTATTTTCCTTCTTTATATTTTCATTAATTTTAACTTCCTAAGCATAATTTTCCCCTAAAATATTTTCCTGATTTATATTTTCCAGATAATATTTGTTCCTGTCATAAAAGCATTCCTGACAAATATTTTCCTGAATTTAATTATTCCTGACGACAATTTTCCCGAAAATTATGCGCCACCCTATAGTCTCGTGTCCTATAGAATTAAATACTTTCAACAAATGTGTTCTTTTGGCCAATTCATAGACTACTGTTGTTTTATATTTTTATGTTAAGCAAAGTTTTAAATAATTAAAAAGGGATAACTGTTGAGTACAAGCCGTATATCCTGAGTTAGAAACATTATCCACATGTGTATGTATAGACTCAAGCATCGAGGAATGCATTTTAACTTAATGTGTTATGTATGACTCTGGACTTAGGAGAAACGTATCACAAATTGGACGTTGAAACATTGGTAATGAAATATTATATAGAATAATCTTCCAACCGCCATCTCTGCCCTCTATGTGTTTTCATAGCTTACATAAATCAGATCTGAAAAAAGCTGGTAAGTTGGTGTCGCTCTGCTGTACAGTAGCTGGTTACAAGTGGGTTAATGTATACCTAATGGATTGTATTAAATTTGAATACAATGATATAATATCATTGTATAAGAAAAACGATTCTGAGTGGAGACGGTTTTTCAGTCTGGATATTTTAGATTTTAGATACTGAGTGGAATAATGAATGTATTGATTTTGCAATGATGTGTTTTTTTTTTAAATTTTTTTATTTACTTTTGTGTCTGTCATCACTTACAATTTGGATGATCCTCTATGTTAAGATGATATTCATACTGCTACCTACATTTAAAAATACCAATATTTTGGTAACAGGAAAAAGTAAAAATATTGGCTCACATATTGGATTTAAATATGACTACAAAATAAATTAAGTAAGTAGGTATTCATTATTTTAACTGTAATATTATTTAATTATAATATTGACAATCAATTTTTTTAGGTTATCAAGTTAATTGGAAAGCAGTGGAAAAAAATCTATTTGGACTAACTGCATATTATATTATGATTCCAAAACGGAATTTGAGTATGCCATAGTAAAATCAACTATCACATACTTTATATGTATTGAAAACTAAAAATTGTGCTAATGTTAATGTTTTGTAATTTGTGTGATATTTTAAACAGGATTTAAATGAGATGACAACATCAATCATTACAACTCAAAAGATAAAAATATAATATATGCTGTGTTTAATACACACAATATAATATGTATCTTGTAGATTGTGTAAATGAAATAAAAAATTTAAAAAAAAAGTAGGTACCTAGGTATGTGATTAATAATTATATTTAAATTACTACTAATAGTATCCAATAGTATAAATTCTCAATATGTATAAGGTATTAATTAAAAAATATATATAATTATTTTTTTTTTAAATGATATTGTATTACTTTGTATAATGATAAATACTAAATTCTTCTGTAAATTATTGATGTTGTCATCAAATAATAATTAAGGCTAAAATTATTAACCATTTTTAAATTTTACTATTGAAGTCTGGGTTGATTTTAAAGTTTTTTGAATACATGTTATATCTTTACTCATATTTTGCATAACTGCAAAACGACAATTTTGATTTAACTGTATCACCATTTTGAAATAGGTTTTTCACAGTCCTTTACTTATAATTAAAGTGCAATTGTTTAATGGTTTGTAATAATATAAGTATAACATTTTAGAAATTCTGTTGTGAAACAGGGTTCAGGGATAAAAAGAACCTTAAAGAAACTAAAAAATTAATTTATTTGTTTGTTTCTTTTTATTTATTTTATTTACTCACATTTCATTAAAGGTACGTTTTCCTTGCAGCGTCTGGTCGCGGTGGTCCAGGCGTGTCTCTGGTCTAATGCGTTTCTATGTGTTCGTTTTCCTATGTGCGTTTGACGCGGCGGTTGGCGTCAACACCGGTCGTGACCAGTGCATCGCGTCAACCGCCAGCGTCATATGTCAAAAAAGTTTATATTGTCCTCTGAGGAGGACGAAATTTTGATAGATTTTGTTCAAAAAAACGAAGTTTTATACGATTGTTCTCATCCCAAAAATAAGGATATATTTTTCAAAGATACACTCTGGAAAAGTCTATCAGAAGAGCTTAATAGAACTGGTAAGTAATATATTTAAATAAATAATATTAATATATAAAAAAAAAAATAATAATATATAAATGATATAATTATAGAATATTATAATATTATATTGATAAATTAATTAATAAATTAGTTCTTTTGGGGAACCATTATTTTAATTTAATAAAATTAAATTAAAAATGACTATTTTGCTATCAATCATAATTTCAAAATAATATTAAAAAAATATTTAAATTTTATAGTTGAAGATATAAAGAAGAGATGGAAAAACATCCGTGACACTTTTATGAAATTAAGAAAAAAATTACCAACGGGATCTGCCAGTTTAGAAAGAAATAAATGGCCCTTAATGCCCTACTTATTATTTTTAAACACGGTTGAATATGAGAGAAAGTATGTATTATAATAATTTTACCTACTACAAATTTAAAATTATAATATTTAATTTATAATATACTTATTTATTTCCCGAAGCATATTATGTAAACAACAGGTTACAATGATCAAGTCATCACAAGTTTTTGGAGATAAGTTAATTGGCTGATAATATACTCTAAACACTTGACTCAGAAGTCCAAAAGCATTTTCGGTTACTCGCCTAGCACGACTTAACAGATAATTAAAAATAGCTTTTTGAGCATCAGCCTTTGCAGCCTTTTGAGAGTAAGGTCTTAAAATGTGTTTATGAAGTCTAAATGCTTGGTCGCCCAATATCACGTAGGGTAATCTGTCCCTGGATAAGCACTTTCTTTTGGGAAGTTGAATGAACCATTTAGAATTTGTTGCCCTAAAATTGACTTTAAAAATATACCACTATCTCTTTCTCTACCAAACAAACCAACATATATTACTACAAATTTATAATTCGCATCAATCAGCCAATAAAACAATCGAAAAATAATCAAAAACAATTTATAATTATAAAATTGGGAACCAGAATTACTGGGACATCGTATTTTTACGTGTTTTCCATCTATGGCCAGAATATAATTAGGGAAGTTCCATTTAATCAAGAATTCTTCTGACTTACTTTTAAAACCATATTTTTGGGATTTGGCAAAAATATTGGCATTAAATATTGTTTTAAAATTGTTAATGTTTCTTTTACTAAGACACTAATATTAAACGATATACGGTAAGCAAATGCTAATGATCGGAATGATTCTCCAGTTGCAAGATATCTAAAAATAAAATAAATACATTTTATTAAATTTAGGTAATGGTCTATTTGCAAAGTGATTATATTGGTCATAGTGTATATGGTATATCAATATCAATATATATTTTTATTTTTAGTTACATTATGTTTTATATTTTTATTATTAATATAATCGCTTAAATGCGAATAAAATTTATCTTAATCGACATTGAATAGAACAAAAATTATTACATTAAATTTACATAAACACTAATTAATACAATACAATTTTATAAACCAATTATCTAGTAAAAATACATTATAAATTATTACCTCAATGTAATTGCCAATTTTTCATCTGGTGTTATAGGATCAGGAACTCGTAAAGATGGCTCTTTTGTAAGCGACTCTCTAAGTTCTAACCAATGATAAAATAAAATCAAATTGCTGGCGATTGAGACGAAAAAACTCTCGAAATTTGTTGTCATCAGTAGAAAGATGTACTTTGATTAGTTTTTCAAAAAACCCTTCAGATTTCCTTCTTGAAAATAAAGGACTAATTTGATTTCTTTTTTGATTTGTTAAATTAAAAAGTAATTCATCATCTTCAGCTTCTTCTTTTAACAACTCATATAATATACGATTATTGTTTAAAATTTGATTTAAAATTATTTTGTGATCCATATTAAAGAATATCGACGATATCGTACAAACACGTCCGCGCAGAACCAATGTAGGAATGGTTTTGAGGTAATATACTAGTATGACAAAATTATGGGCCGCGATAAATGGTTGCGTAAAATGGGTTGCCAACATGAAATTTTTAAAAATTATACTATAAAAGGTATTTGCAGCTTACCACTCTGCTGTACAAAAGGCATCAGAATAGATGTGTTACCTACTTGAATTCAATGATATATTTAATGGTATAGATTGCATTCAAATATTATATAATCTAAATTTAGGTTGCCAACCTTTTCCAATAAGTAAGCTATATTCTTAATTTTAAAACTGATGATCGACATATATTTATTTATTTGCATTTTTTTTATACTAGAACATGACGTTTATACAATATATGTATCGTGTATACAACATTTTTATTGCGATCGATCTATATTCCTATAAAGATCGACTGATTGGTGATGCTTTCTTAATTCCTGATTTCGATTTGTAAAAGTTTTTTTAACAATTTAGAAAAAAATGTACGAGAAATTTGGTTTTGGTCATTTTTTGATTGAATATTTGTAAAAAAATTGGAGCGGTCGCGGCGTTTAGACGCTGTGTGGAAAACGTACCTTAAGAGTTTCAAGTTCAAATCAAACTCCTATTACAACTATTTGATGTTATATCAGTAAGTGTGTTGAAAATATATTATTGTAATCTGCAATTTTTCGTTGAAATGGAAATGTTGTTACACATTTTTGATGTTGTAAAATTTTAAATTTCATACTTTAAATCTGACCTCTACCAGATTTTAAGTAAAGCCCTGTTCATGGCATTGAAAATATGAGTTTTTAAGTTTATCAGTGCTTTATGTTGGTAGCCTCTTAATATTCCTCTTAATTATTAGGGACGTGTGTCATCCCTGAACTAACTCAAGTTAATTAGCATTTGGGTGTGAACGTTTGGTACAAAGGAAAAATTCCGTCGAACGAGAAGAAATCTCACTTTTTCGAAATAAAAATATATTTAATGATATTAATAATTATAATAATATAATATACAATATGCGATTTCTATTATTTCGTGAGTGCCGTGCCGATTTGTATGATACGAAATAACGGTGGGTTTTCTTTGTATCATAATTCAATGACTAGATGGTGGATAGTTGGTTATTGGCGGTTCGGCAATATGACTTAAGCAACCCTTGTGTCGGTGTGGGATGTGGGTAATTGCATCTCATGACACTGTACATTTATCAACGTTTCCGTCATCATCTTCATCTATGTCGACGGCAGACGTTTCCATCTGACCTCCTGTCAGTATGTTGTTTACCACGGCCCTGGCAAAATACCCGGCAGTGATCGAGTACTTGGATGAAATGAACGCGTCCAGATTGTCACTAAGCGTCATTTGATTGTCCTGCGGCGAAATAATATGAATAAACGGTATCAGTGCCGCAGTTAAAAAAATGTCTGGGAGGGAGATTACCGGTTACTCATGAATAAAGTTTGCTAAAAATTTTATTTTCAAGAACAATAAAACTCACTGCATTTATCAAATCTACATTACTTAGTGCCCAGTTATAAGGTCTATAGTTTTAACACCCTCATAAAGTTAGCAGCACAACACTTGGCAGAGATATCTAACAAACTTGTTGGACATAATTGGATTACCCTCCAACTTTGTTGTACTTGAGTTTTAAGCAAAATCATTGCCTATTGTTTGATACTATTTTGGCGTTCTGTGTCTAAATGAGTGGGCTGCGTGAATTTGGCCCAACTTTTAGTTTTCTGGTTTCACGGCGAGAGTTTGGACTTTCAGATTCTAAAAATCGACTAGCAAATACTAGAAAATAACGTGTAAAATAATGGTATAAATTTAAAGAAAATAGTAGCGCCTGTCCAAATAATGTCCAATAAATTGTTGGACTAAAGTGGCTGTTAGTTGTTGGCGAAAATTATGTCCAGCAAATGTTCAGGGCTGTCGAACAGTGTCTAACAAATTAAGCTGGACATATTTTATTAGGGTGAAATTTTGCTAACGTAAAGTTGCGCTGTTGGAATATGATTGGCAGCGCAAAAGTGTCATAAGCTCTAACCGCAAAGTCCAACAAAGTCGGGGGGTAATCCAATCATGTCCAACAAGTTTGTTGGAAGTATTTCATATGTGTCTGTCATAGTTGTTCTGCTAACCTTATGCGGATAGTTTTAACAGACATATATATACCTGTATATAAAAAAAAGTATAAAAATAAACAGATATTAGGATTTAGGGGTGGAGGTCAAATGTACTCAGTGCAGACACGGACGTTTTGGAGCAGGCCGTTTTGGCACAAACCAATATTTCTATACATTTCAATAATTTATATAGAATAATATTTGTTTGTGATTAGAATATAACAAAAACAAAAACACATCAATCGACAAGAAAGGTCATGCGTTATCTATGTCGTAAAGATAAACATAATATCTTTGACGATAAAACTCGAACTTGCGGTTCACGATATAGTTCGGTATCATTATTGTATACAGTTCACAAACACATTTTCTTTCTTGAAGTGCACATAAAGTGTATACTAAAGTAAGACACTACACAATTTAAATATAAATATAGAGAAAATTCGAAATGTGATCGATGATGGTTTCATGCATGTCTTCGATAAATTTAAAGCAGACAAACAAAAAAATTTTTGGAGATGTTGTCAAAAGAATGGTTGCTTGGCCAGAATTCATACAAATAGGTATTGCCAATTTAACGATTTTGAAAAAAATGCATACTTATGATTCTGATGCCGCCAAAATTGAAACACGAATTGCTATAAAAGCAATATAAAAACGGGCATTGCCCACGATGGAACGATGGAAAAACATCCTGCGTCACTATAATGAGTGCACATTAGGCTTATCACAAGCAGAAAAGTTGATTATATATATCATAATATAAAATAATGTTGTTATAAATTATAATATTGTGTACAATGAAACGTGTACTATGTAATTACTAAAATTTACAAAGAATTAAAAAAAAAATTAAATTCGTATATTATTTTGTAATAATAGTAGGTATATTACTTGTAATTAATTTAATAAGAGGACGCCAGACCCTCATGTGTTGTCTCCACTCTCCGTACAACAAATGTACAACATAGCTAATTTTATATTAGATATTAAAATATCACTCTTATTAATATTTATGAATTATTCCATTTTTTTTATTTTATATTTTTAAACTATTATAGTAGGGTGTTTTTTGTATCCGAATAATGATGCATTGAAAAACCAAATTAAAAAAAAAAGAGAAAAGCCCTGTTTGAGCAGAAAATCTGATTTTAAGTTTCATTGTTATAATTTTATAACATACATGGATGTTATTATAATTTAACAAAAAATATTAGGAAAAAATGAAGGACATAGAAATGTTATAAAATTATAACAATGATGCTAATTTTTCTGTAACCGTAAAACTGATATTTTATTGCTCTAGAATTTGACTGATTGAAGTTCTGGAGGTGGTAATAGATTTGCTTGCTCATGAATTACCAGATTGTTCCGGTACTCGAATGGTTCGAAGAATATTATACGAAGAAAAAATTAAAGAAAAGTGGGTCGTCAAAACACAACGATCTTTTTCAGAAAGTTAGAAATTATTTCAAAGGATGCTAACAAATCAAAAAAGTACAAATAACCACGTCGAAGCTGTTAATAGACGTTTGAATGTTCAGATGGAAGTTACTAATATAACTACAAGGGCGTCCGCAGGGGGGAGTAGGGGCAGTTGCCGCTCCCTTGGCATTTTCTGGGTTGATTATCATATATTATTATTGATAATTTTAATGTTCAAAAAAAAGCCCTAACAATTCTAAATAGTGCACTAAATTATTTTTATTTTTAATATTAAAAATATAAATTCTAATAAACATTTTAATCTTTTAAATGATTGTAGAAAAGTTTTACAGGCAGAACTTATCATTTAGACTACTTATTTAATCAGAAAATTAACTATTTTTTTTCTGTACCTATAGGTTTAGACTTTGGATCATATATTTATTATAAAAATCATATAAAAACATGTGCAAATCTTAAATTTAAATTTAGAAAAAACTTCAAAATGCTCTAAAAATCTTTAAATGCAAAACATGGCCCTAAATTAAATTAAACGATATTTTAAAATCGTCAACAAATTCAATGTAAGGTATGTTATAAAACGAGTATGGCGTAGATTTGGAAAACAATGCAAAATGCATTATAATCATAACCTCAATCATTACACATTTATACCGTTCTAATATAAAATATCGCAAAATAAACTCTTATTTAAAAATAAAAATAAAAATATATTTATTTTTTTTCCAGGGTGATTTTTATTACACTCGAATCAAAATCAGAACGTTGCTTTTAAAGATTATGAGATGTAGTGGTGGGATCAAGTGAAATATTGCAGTGTCAACCAAGGTTTTACTTTTTTGATGAAAAATTTAAATGTTCATAAATGGCATACCTACAACACTTACAACTTTTTAAGTTTGTGGTGTCAATGACTGAATAAGCTAGAAATATTTAATTTTATAAATTAGGCACCTAAAATTATAAAATCAACGATAACATTTTATCTATTAAAAAATAATGTATTTGATATTTTAAAATTACAAAACAATTAATTAAAATTAATGCTGTAAGATAAAGTTTTAACTAATTATGAACGTATAATTCATGAATATTTTTACATTCCTTGTCTATACAAGAAAATATGAAAGAAAATATGTCACAAAAATACTTAATAACCAATAGGATAGTGAGACAAAAAATTTAAAAAGGAAAATATT